TTTCAAGCAAGACATGTAAAATCATCATCATTTCAGCCACAGGACGTCCACTGCTGAACATAGGCCTCCCCCAATGACTTCCACAAAGACCGGTTGGTAGTGGCCTGCATCCAGCGCCTTATTGCTGCCTTTAAGAGAGGTCGTCAGTCCACCTTGCGGTCCACATTTTAAGGTCTCATAAACTAATTTGGGAAATCGCAAAATCAAAACAAGTCAAAAGTTAATAATGATCATTTATTTACAATTACATTCAGTCTCATAGCTTATCATTAATGATATTTACACACTTAACCTAACTATTCACATAATCAAAGACATACTACTATAGTCTGGTCGCCGAGCACGTAGAATTTTGTCCAATGACCCCAAGCTACCCATCCTTATCACTCGCGCGTAATTATGTTGCTGTCGCGCTCGCACACTCACTACGGGCGCCCGTCGCACAGTCGCGACAGCAATATAATTACGCGCGAGCGATAAGGATGGGTAGCTTGGGGTCATTGGACAAAATTCTACGTGCTCGGAGACCGGGCTTTAGACAACAAGTTTTTCAGCGCCGTAAAGCCTGTAGTATAAGTACATGTATCTTTGCACATACATTCTACAACTAAAAAATATTAACAATCATGACTGGATCAATAAAATTATGTGCACCTAGCCTACCATTAATAATCATCATCATCATTTTGAGCCATAGGACGTCCTCTACCGAACATAGGCCTCACCCAATGATTTTTATTGGCCGGTTGGTATCGGCCTGCATCCAATTCCTTTTTTTATTGGCCGGTTGGTAGCGGCCTGCATCCAATTCCTTCCTGCGACCTTTATGGTCATCTTTCACTTTGTTTGTGAAAATATGATTATAGTTAGTGTATGCAAATGCATGTATTAGAACAAACCTATTTTCGAATAAATAGGTATCTAATAATTAATGTGGAGATCACTCATGGTGAACATGTCTATTCAAGGGAGCGTGTTTCCTGAGTGCTGGAAGGTGGCAGTCGTCAAACCTCTGCCTAAAACCAGTCACCCTACCACGGTTCGGGACCTCCGGCCCATCAGCATTCTGCCGTGTCTCTCAAAGATTCTGGAAAAAATAGTTTGCGATCAACTGACAAAGTATCTTGAAAATAATGACATCCTTCCCAACTATCAATCTGGCTTCCGAGGGGGACATGGTACGGCGACTGCTCTGGCTGATGTGATCGACAATCTTCTCACGGCTCAGGACAAGGGACAAGTCTCTATGTTGATGCTACTTGACTTCTCCAGAGCGTTTGATTCAATAAATATACCGCTCCTATTGTCTAAGTTAAGCTACTACGGCCTGGATAATAGTACAACTAAGTGGTTCCATAGTTACCTAACGGGGAGATCTCAAATAGTAGAACTAAAAAAAAAAGATGGCACTATATTGAGGTCACGGTTGGAGCCCCTGCGTCGTGGTGTCCCACAGGGATCAATACTAGGACCAATTTTATACATATTGTACAGTGCTGATATAACAAATTGTATTGCTACCTGCCATTACCACTTATATGCGGATGACTTACAGTTATATCTGTCTTTTGCACCATATGACTACGTTAATGCTGTAGCTAAGGCCAATGAAGAGCTAAATATGATATCTGATTGGTGTAACTCAAATTGCCTTGTTCTCAATCCCCAAAAATCTAAATTAATGTTAATTGGAACCACTAAAAATATTGAGAAGTTAAAAATCCAAATTAATGTTAATGGTAGNCGTGGGTGCGCCCCCGGCCGAAACCGGCGGAGCCCGCCCGCGCCGTGTGGTGGTGCGCCTGGCGCGCCGCCAGCTGCGCGACGACCTGCTGCGGGCCGCGCGCGTGCGTCGCGGCGCTGCGGGCGAGGGTGGCGGCCGGGTGTACATCAATGAGCGCCTGACCCGCTCCAATCGGCACCTGTTCTACCGGGTGCGCGAGGAGTGTCGCAAGCAGCAATGGAGGTACTCTTGGACGAGACGAGGACGTGTGTTCGTTCGTAAGAGTGACGGTTCGCAGGTCTTCCATCTTCGATCCCTTGATGATTTCGCCAGAGTGTTTGGAGCTCCTGGTTTATGACTTTTAGATTTCTGGAAGACGAAATTAGGGCTCATATATTTTATGCATATTTGTCATATATTCTGTACAGTACACAATGTCAATGTGTTCATTCACGCAACATTAATTGTTTTATTGAATCTTACGAAGTTGCTATATTATTGCTTTATTATATTGATTTGNGGAGTTGGTTGATAGAGCAAAAAACCTTGGATTAACCTTTGACAGTCAATTGAGGTTCGAAAATCATGTTGCTGAGTGCGCCCGTAATTGCTTTTACCGACTAAAGCTTCTTTACAGGCTGAGACCATACCTCAGTGAAAGAATTAGAGTAACATTGTGTGAATCGCTGGTCTTAAGTAGACTAAACTACTGCGACACAGTGTATGGGTCATGCCTGCTGTCCAGATCTGCTCGCCTTATACAGAGGGTGCAAAATGCATGTGCCCGTTTTTGCTTCATGGTTCCCCCCCGATCTCATATAACCCCTTTTCTCAATGCCGCTAACATGCTCAAAATGGAGGCACGTAGAAAGCTACACCTTGCAGTAATGTTGTTCGGAGTCATTACTAAAATGAGACCTAGTTACCTGCTTAATAAGCTGGAATGGGCTCAGAGTCATAGCAGATATCAAAAAAGATCTTGCACCCGCATATTTGCCACTCCGAAACATCGCACCATGGCATTCCGTGGGTCCTTTAGGTATGCGGCCTCGCGGTGCTGGAATGACCTGCCACCGCCGTTGCGCGCCCTGCAATTTAAAAACACTTTTAGAATCGCATTAAAAAGAACCATGTTAATACTGCAGAAGGCGGATAGCGAACGTGTTGCACTTACTTTGAGTGCATGCGCGTCGCGTGTATTGGCAGCAGCTGGCCTGTCAGCGTCGTCCCGGCACCAGTGAGGATCGCACACGCGTTGGGTGGGCCTCTGTGGCCGATTGGATGGGCCGCCATCACCCCGGTCGCGCGCTGGAAGGGTTTTCAAATCTATTTCATTCTCCGTTCGGTTTATTTGTACGAGACTTTATTGGCATAGTTATGCTAAATGGTGGAATAATTGATGAACTCAACATACCTTTAATTCTTGCGCGAACGGTTGTTGAGCGTCACTGGCGGCCTTATCTTGTTAAAGTTAGTGCGCAGCCCAAATATTATATTGCAATCTTTTACACAGTCGTGTACAGTTCCCAGCCACGCTTAAACGGGTTGTTCTTGTTATCGTCACCATTGGTGTGAGAACGTTAATCCTCAGGACACATGCTTGCCACATCATTACTACGTGGACAATCTTGATTTTTTCCATTTTTCGCTTGGAAGGTAGCAATCATAACGGTAGCCAAAGAAAATAATAATTTTTCACTCTGACGGTGGTTTTAGGTTATAATTTTGATAAATACATTCAACATTGATATTTGAACGACGAACTGTCACGTACGACATGACAGTTTTTTTTCCTCTTTTTTTCCTTTCTCTTTGTATTTTTTTTTTTCTCACCGTCCTTGAGCTGCCTCGCGTGAAGTGGAGAAGGCATAGGACTGGTACAATTTTATTGTTATGTACGTAAATAGAAGTGGGGTTTTATTCTAAAAATTTATGTTAAATGTTTTAAATAATTTCTTCCTTGTAACTGTCTCGTGTGTATTGTGTCTGTGTTTTAATGTATTGGTTATTGGTAGTTTATATTCGTGTCCACGTACCCCGCGACTAATAGTTGCTGCGTATCCCTTCTGTGCTGTTCTAATTTTAAAATATAAATTAATACACTTCTTCTTCTAACACCAGGTTCGCCGGTAGGGATGCGCAGTAGCTGATAGGGCTTCCTGCTGAAAATCAGTGTTGGGACATCCTACAAGGTGTCCCAACTAAAACTGAGCGGGCGCCCTATTAACATTCATTTGTCTTTTTCGTTTTATTTTAACCATTGTATTGTGTTGTCATAATGTGTGTTAATAAAGTTATTTATTATTATTATTAAGACACTGAACTGATATACTACCTCATGGGTGTTGTAAATTGATCTAATTATAGAACTGTGTCTGTTTTTAAATATTCAATCCAGTATTTTCGCCGATGCAAACGGATTGATTGTTACATTGATTTAAGTCATTATAATACGGCAACGTTTACCATGCCTTCTTGTTTTATAACGGTATATATAAAACAAACTGTTTTGAGTTTCAGAAAATGAATTCTGAATGCAAGAAAAGGATACATCGTTCTAGTGCAATACGAAATCGTAGTCGGGAGCGTGTGAGCGTCAGGCGAAGTCACAGTCACATNATTTATTATTATTATTATTATTATTAAGTGCTGACATTTGTGTACAAAATTGCTATAAATAGTGCTGTGCTGTAATGGCAAAAGATAGTGAATCATCGCTCTTCTTGGTCATTTGGCATTTACCTCTTTGTTGATGGGATTGATCGACTTACTAATGATCATAACATTGTACTATGGATAATAGTTGACCACAAGATGGAGACCACAGTCTGACCGCAAGAGTTCAGACTTAGATCTGTCTGGTGTCTGAGTCTTTGTTGTCTAGATCTAGATTTTTATCTATTGTGGCGATATTTAATATCGAGCATGCCCGCTATAAAATGAAGAACTATCGTGGCAGATATTATTACGGATTTAGGACGTTAATGTTATATTTTTGGTTTTAACGCGGAAGAAATTTAATGCGCATACTAGCTGTCGACGCGACAGCAGGTTTTGTGAGGCTCCCTTGAGTCGACGCGTTACACCGGCTGTTGTTTTGCTTCTTTCGCTTTAGGCCCCTATTACACTGACGTATGTTTGCGAAAACTGACGCATCCCGCAGTCCTTTTGGGACTATGCGATGTAGGATCGCTTGTGGCATGTTCCCGTTTCTAGAAAAGCATTTTTGGGAAGACGTAGGGTTCTAGAAGCATGTTCTCTGCCGGTCAATTTGTAACATCGTGACGTAGCTCTTATTGCGGTCAAGCGATCTTAATATTTGGAATATATTTTGCATGCAAGGCCTGCGTATATGCGTGCATAGTATCTGCGTTATAAGTTGCACGTACTGCCCATTTAGTGTACTTAAACAATTGTTTGCAACCTATTTAAAGTCCAAGAGTTCCTTGGTATCATAAAACTATCTCGCTAAATCTAATGGATGTGAACGTATCGTTTATCTAACCAAAATTTCCGATTCCAGATCAAAATGACTTCCACATCGTTCAACGTTGGTCTCACAGACAACACGAGGCTGTCCAGCAGGGTGCTCCGCCCCCCTGGCGGTGGTCACACCGACATCTTCGGCGGGGAGCCCGAGCCTCCGCGCGGTCGCCGCCCCGCCCCTTCGGTGGTCGCTGCCGCTGCTGCCGGTGGGTATTTGAACCTTAACAACTGGACATTAAGGTCTAGAATCATCGTTTCAGCCACAGGACGTCCACTGCTGAACATAGGCCTCCGCCAATTATTTTCACATCGCCCGGTTGGTAGCGGCCTGCATCCAGTGCCTTTATGAGTTTTAAGCCGAGTTGCATCACCTAACTACACTAACTATGTCAATGACCGGTGTTTTTTGTATGGAGTTTGACAGATTTTTAACGTTTATTAAAGATAAAATAATGATGCAACTCAGCCATAAGCCAGAATAAGACGTTAGAAACCATGAATTATACAGCTTTAATGATGATTAATTCTACATCTTGGAGTAGAGGTGAAAGTTTTGAAGTCAGTGGTTGAAGTCATCTTAATGGTTGTATACTAGATGGGACACATCAGTATCTTGTTTGTGCTGTGATTCCTAGCTTGGTTAATAAGATAATAGCAAGCTTATGTAGTTCTAATAGGTTTGATTTTGCTGCAAATTATATTATTATAGTCTGATTGGCTGGCAATTGAACGATTTAGGCTTGACCTTAGGCCAAATTATCTGATAAGAAAAGTGAATAATATTATTGAGTCGACGGTTCATTGACACTGACAGAAAGCCACATGACTCAACTTCAACTGAATATCGATTTTAGTTCGTTCGTGCTTGCAAGTTTCGTACTTTTTTCGGTGTTCCGTATTCCGATGCAAAAGCCCTTATGCTTCAACCACACTAATGCGTGCAGAACGCCATCGCCGGCGCGATCATAGGCCAATGACAGGTTGCGCGACCCATGACAGTACGCGCTTCAATACATTCACTATAGTCTCTGAAAAAGACAATGCCGGAAATTGGCGTCTTTTTTTTTCGCGCGGCCATCGACCAAACCTTGTTTTTTGATTACAAAATAGTGTAATAAACCAAACTTACTATTACATGTATACCTCTAAACTCAGTCTGAAGTGAGTTACGAGCATTAGAAGTTTGATGATTTTCATACTAGACTAGCGGCCGCCCGCGACTTCGTACGCGTGAATCCCGTTTTTCCCGCTAATTTCCGTTCCCGTGGGAATTTCGGAAATTCCTTTCTTAGTGCACCTCTACGGTACCTAAGCTACGTCCCTTCCAAATTTCAAGTGCCTACGTTTAGCCGTTTAGGCTGTGCGTTGATCTGTCAGTCAGTCAGTCAGTTTCTTCTTTTATATATTTAGATTTGCTTTTTGCGCGCAAGTTTTGTAAGAAATTGCAACAAAATAGTGACATTGTATGTGTAAACAAACAATACCATCCATTAAAGGCTCCAGACATCAGTATGCAGCAGAATCAGCGCAATAAAAAAATTGCGCAATATTTTGTTGCAATTTCTTACAAAACTTGCGCGCAAAAAGCAAATCTAGTATGAAAATCATCAAACTTCTAATGCTCGTAACTCAGTTCAGACTGAGTTTAGAGGTATACATGCAATAATAGGTTTGGTTTATTACACTATTTTGTAATCAAAAAATAAAGNTTTTTGCGCGCAAGTTTTGTAAGAAATTGCAACAAAATAGTGACATTGTATGTGTAAACAAACAATACCATCCATTAAAGGCTCCAGACATCAGTATGCAGCAGAATCAGCGCAATAAAAAAATTGCGCAATATTTTGTTGCAATTTCTTACAAAACTTGCGCGCAAAAAGCAAATCTAGTATGAAAATCATCAAACTTCTAATGCTCGTAGCTCAGTTCAGACTGAGTTTAGAGGTATACACGCAATAATAAGTTTGGTTTATTACACTATTTTGTAATCAAAAAATAAAGTAAGGTCGATGGCCGCGCGAAAAAAAAAAGACGCCACCTTCCATACAAAATCTGGCATTGCCATTTAATCAAAACTAACCCAGCTGGTATACTATAAATAATAAATCCTTTTCCAATTCCAGCTCAAGAGGAACTAGCTAGGGCCGCGAACGGTGACGCTCAGAATGGCCAGGCCAGCGAGCCTCAAGAGGCTTCCCAGCCTGAACCGAAGGCAGAAAGCCCAGTCAAGCCTGAGAGCCCTGCTAAACCTGACAGCCCTAAGCAGGAGAGCGCTCAGCCAGAACCAGCCAAGGCAGAACCCCCGAAACGCGTGCGCGTGCCTCCAGGCGGCTTCTCTTCAGGGCTCTGGTAATCCTGGACGCAGCAGGTGTTAGGCGAACGGCCCATTGCTTGTTAGGGTGCTAGGATGTCGCTTTCTTGACTGCTTATAGAATCAGGCAACTAGCGCCTTGATTGTTAATTCTGATGAATATTTGACCCGTATTGGACCATGCCTTTTGACGTATTCTTATGTCATCTGTACTGATCTATTAGAGCCAGGGTTCGAAAATATCCGATATTTATTATAAATATCAAAATATCGGATATTTATGATATATATCCGATATATATCAACTTTGATATATATCAATTTTGTATGAAAGCCATAGTATTATTTTATTGTATTATTCATGAATACTATTGCATATGTGTTAATACACATGTTTTTAATGTTTTTAAACCTTAAAATCAGACAAATAAAGCAAAAACATAAAATATTCTTTTAAATACGGCAAAATCAACTAAAAAAATAAAAATCTTATGTCAAAAAGTACAAATACAGTAACAAATTTTAAAAGTTGATATATATCATCAAAACCGGCTTGATATATATCGGATATATATCCGATATATATCTTGATATATATCCCTTGATATATATCCTCGAACCCTGATTAGAGCTGTTAAATGAAAAGATGACAAATTACCAAATTACTTTTATGCTTCTCTCTACTGTTTGTTGAGATATGAGGCTCCTTAAAAACATACAATACGATTGTTTTATTTTTATGGAGACTCATGCACGCATTGTTTCACATTCGCCTACGTCAGAACACGAGCCATATGTGTCAAATTGCTCAATGATGAAGAACAATCAAAAGATTTTTGGTTACTAAAATTACCAAATTTTACCATCTGTCACTGTCAATGTGACGTTTCACACAAAATGGCGGATGTTATCTGTAAAGCGAAAGTTCCAAAAGACTGTAAGTCAATTTTTGAAGATTCTTAGTATCCAAAAACAAAGTGGTGTGGCCATAGCCGCTTAGTTAAGATTCTAGCTGGGACCAGTTGTTAGGTTGTAATATTCGTCGTGCCTTTGTATTTGTTGTTGAATGCTAGAAGCTTTATTTGTTTAACGTTGGACTTACTGGTCCCACGCCAGTTCTCTTAGCGTTCTTATAGTCAGCGTACTTTATCCTCGCAGAAGGCAATTTATTTACTGTAAACGTAACGCGGGCTAGGTATTATTTTACTTGATTAGGAGATTATTATTATTTTAACGTTTTAACGATTAGCTTGTGTCAAAAGCGACTCGCTAGCCAAAACTCTCTATTAGACTAATGTATTGTCACAATTGGTTTTTAAAATTTATTAATAAGTCTTAAATTCTTGTAAATTATTCACAAATCGTATGTTTTACATTGTACAATGTTGTCTATTCCTACATAAGTGTGTCTATGCTCTTCTAGAAATTTCTAGAGCTTTCCAAGTCTGAAAATATAAGACTATAAGCTTTTGTATTCTATTTTAACACAGACTGACATGATTGTGCCTGTTCGAATGTACTTAATGTTTGTCTCGATTAGCATTTGAATATTTTGCAGTTAGTGTTTTATTATAAAATAATAACATTTTGTATGCCTTCGCCGGCAATGATGCGATTATGTATACTAATAACTGTATTTTTATATGAATTACATTACAATACATTATGATTAATATCATTTTAGTGTTTTATTCAATTTATAATAAGTTTCTTAATTGTGTAGAGCTTTATTCAATTTTTTTATTGATAGGATATTCATAACTTTATCAAAATAGATTCGGAATCATGAAATCTTCTTAGATAGCCCTAGTTTTTGTCTCTGGTAAGCTGTCATTTTGTAAAAAATATATAAACGTCAAACAGACAAAATGGAGTAGTCAGCAAACATGTTTCCCGATTCACAAACCAGCAAAAAGCAATAATACAATGGACATCTAGTCATTTCATGGGATTTTATGTGCTATAAATCATCAAAACATCGCCAACATCTACCGAATATTCAACTTTCATATTATCCGTCACATGTAAGTATTAAACAATAAATTAATCTTTCTTACTTTCTTAAACGAAGAGAACAGTTTGTTGTATTTATGATAGAATAGTTATGTGAAGCTGTAATAATAAAAGAACTCTTTAATGCACACCACAACAAAAACTGTAATGGTGTCTAAGAATATTTTAGTTTGGTTGCGGCTCCAGAAGACGAGAGCTTAATAATTTGTTCCCAACAGTAATTCAGACTATTTGCATTGCGTGATGCATGCAACTACAACCCAATCGAGTTAACTGCTCACCCCGCTGGAATGTGACTCATTCGCACCTCCCCGACCAGAGCGTCGATTTGTTTCATGCACAGATACTTATAGATAGATGCAGCATGAAATTTGTATGAAGCCGAGCGTGCCACTTTTTAAACCACTTTTGGTTTTGTGTGTCTTATTGTTATAAAAGTAAGTACGGTTCCTTGTGATCGGTATGAGTGCACCACATTCACGGACCATGGTTTTAACTTTTAGAGTACATCGCAGGATATGTATTAAAAACAATGCTACTTTATACTTCTTCTACTGCTACTTTATTCTAATTAATTATTTGTTACTTGTGCTGTTAATTAAATTCTCAATCCGTAAATAATTTCTTCTTTCTACCGTGTTCGTACTACTGTCCTCGTAAAATCATCGTAACCGATTGTTGTAATCGGATTACATGAACATCACTCGACCATGTATTTCCATTTGGACATATCGGAATGGCACGCTTTGACGATCAACTTGCTGCATCTACTCTAATCCATATCTGTGGTTTCATGCTGTAGTGTGTACTTTTGCATGCCCTCTTGTTGGCTCACGCACGTAGAAGATTTACTTATTATGAACTTGCTTCCTTTTCAGAACATTGTGTAAAATCCAAAGTTCCACCCTTTTTAACCGACTTCTTCGATGGATAACCTAATCACATTAACTACGATTATCACATCTATTGACACCTCTCATTTCTACAATTTTTACCCTTGAGTGTACTGACATAAACCAGAACTTCCAAAACCCAAGCACATTCGTGGTGTTAGGACAGCGCCCGCGCAACATTAAATGATTCTCACCTTTATTGACTCCTCGAATTTTATATAAATCTCAATCTCACCTTTATGCATACCGACATAAACCAGACATTCCAGCAACCCAAGCACATTCGGGCTGTCAGCACACCGCGTGGCATGGAAGACTATTCGCAACATTAAAATGATTCTCACCTTTATTGACACCTCTAATTTTATACAAATCTCAACCATATGCATACTGACATAAACCAGAAATTCCAGCAACCCAAGCACATTCGCGCTGTCAGCACAGCGCCCGCGCGGCATGGAGGACTATTCGCAACATTAGGGTAAGGTGGGGCACAATGAAACAAAAAAACGTTTTTTGTTCATAGAAACAAAATATCTCATTATTTTAATAAACTCTTTTCAAGAAAATGTACATTAGCTATCCCTTTAATAATCAACATTATCAAACTACATGTTTCTATAAGTAATCTTAAATTATTGGCACTTTTTCGAGATCAATTTTTTGTTGTACTGTGCCCCAGATCTGGGGTACAATAAAACTAGGGTAGGGGTACTATGAAACAGATTGGGGCACAGTCCGTAAACACTCTTCGCACTTTGTAGTTGGGCGTATATCGCACGACCTGTCCCTCTTCTTCTCGGTTTTCTTTTTTTTTTCTTGAAATACCTATACAATGTGCTAAAATTAACATTTTACAGATTTTCTGCTTCTCTAAGTTTTACCTCCTTCAACTAAGGCTACTGCTTCTTTCATATCTGCTTCATTAGGAAGCCCTATATCCGTTTTTCTTTTCCGGTTACGAACCATTGTGGTGTTTTCTAAAAACAAAAAACAAAAACTTATCTTACACTGAAACATGTTTTACTGTGCCCCGTTTCACTGTACCCCATGACCCCCTTCAATAACACAAAAACATATAACATTCTTTAGGTTATAAACACCGGCCTTCGTCTGATGTCAATATTACAAGAAATATGCAAGAATTATTAAAAAAATAGCCATACATACCTTTGGTAAACAGTGTACTAATAAAATCGAAAACTTTTTCATGAAAAAAGATACGAATTACTTTCAAAAATCAGTTTTTTTGCAATAATTCAACAGGCAGCTTTCAAATTGAGGAAAGACAACTGCACCATGATGGCAGTGCGAACGCTTAATAAAGCAGTGAGGCCAGTAAAAATAAATTGATAAAAAGAGGTAGAAATATTAAACTTGTTTTACTGTACCCCGTGTGTCACTGTGCCCCCTGTAACCCTAAACGATTCTCACCTTTATTGACACCTCTAATTTTATACAAATCTCAACCTTATGCATACTGACATAAACCAGACATTCCAGCAACCCAAGCACATTCGGGCTGTTACCACAGCGCCCGCGCGGCATGGAGGGCGGGGGGCGGCAGTCGCGGCTGCTCGGCCGCTTGCTTGGGAAACTGCGCGGCGAGCACCGCTACTCGGCGCTTGATAAGAACTTCTCCTTTACTTCTACTGTGTAAGTGCTATGATGTTACTTGTTGAGGGATAGTCTACTTTGCAAAGACCAGAGAGTAGCAGCTTTGCAGTAAAACCTAAGAGAACGCCTTCGTTTCGTCAACTTTGCGCAGTGAAGGCTCTAAAGAGTCATGCGGCGGCGCTTTTTTGACGTTTGCAGACTACAGAAGCGTCTTTCTCCATTGCTGCATTGATCTCACAGACACTTGAGCTGAGGACCTGCATGAGGATAGATCTAGCTCTACTGGTTATTGCTAGCACTTAGCTTTCAGGAAACTACGGCAATAAGACGCAGCCAGCAAGGGACCGTCTGGAAAACTTGCTAGCGCCGAATTTAGTGTTACCCTGAAGGCACTCTTTCCCCCAGCGTATGCTCTGCATTATGCTCAATACTAAAGTAGAGGTGTAATAATTCCATCTCCTATGCCAACTGTTGAGTGTTGGCCAATTTACCTTCAATATTCACAGTGAAAGCACTGGATGTGGCAGCACCACTAACGACGACGAGGACATGGACGCGTCCGCGCACACTGCCAGCGGCACCCAGGGACCCATCGACCACGACCAGTTCGCCGCTAACATTGACTTGAGGTTGGTAATGTTGGTAGATACTTTGGCCTGTAGCTGGACATCCACTAACGAGGAAACCCATTAGGGCGTCTTCAAATTAAACGCATAAGGAAGCGCTGCAGTGACGCAACTGTGCCGCGCTTGCCGCGCCACTACTAGTTTTCATACAATATCTAGAAGCGCAACAGCCGCACGTCTTTGTCACACTGTCACTTTGGTAGTCCATAGTGGCGCTGCAACTGCGCATCTAAAATTGTATGAAAACTGAGTGGCGCAGCAAGCTCGCCACAATGCTGCCACTGCAGCGCTTCCTTGCGCGTCTAATTTGAAGCGCCCTTACAATTACCTACTCTTGAGGCTAAAATTGCAGGTACGGCGGACAATATCTGACGCCAGAACAGCTGCCAGAGTTTTGCGAACAATTGCACCATTTGGTAGAAGTGATACGGAATATCCAGTCATACTCCAAAATGACTGGAGAGTACCCAAGGTAAGTAGGCGTGTTTATTTCCACTTGAAATATTTAAAGCTTAATTTTGTGATGTGTTATCAGCGCCTTCCTGCAACCTTTAAATGGTCGTTCTCGACATCTCGCGCTGCGCTTGTCGGTACGTGCCCTCTATTCCAGAACCTTGCTGGCTCATAGGCCGTCAGTTCTGCCAACCGATCAATCTAGGAATATTGTGGGACGCCTATGTTCAGCAGTGGAAATGGACGATGATATCATTCTTGAAGTGACTAGGTAGGTAATATTACTGAAGCAGCCTATCTTCCAGTGAACTAGAGCGACGACTGGAGCAAGAAGCACGCGAGGTGGCAGCACTAGCAGCGGAGGCCCGCAACGCACGAGACGTGGTCACGCGCACGCGCGCTCAGCGGCGTGCAGTGCGCGCTCTGAAGAAACACCTGGTGGCGCATCTTGCTAATCTTAGGGAAACTGGTGAGTGAGATTAATAAGCTGAAGATATGAACTTCTGCTGAAGTTATGACATAGTGATTTTTAAATCGTTTTGTCGCCGTTCCTGTTTCGTCACTCACTCCCTTATTTACCTGATTGACCCATTGACGTCTATGTCGAAGGTATTTTTTCACAGCTAGGTAAGTCCGTGTGTATAAGGCTTATTTCCTTTCAATGTAACACACGCTCTTAGTTACATTTTTGTCCCTTTCTTTGAATCTGCCCACTTCCTCGCGTTCGATTCGTACATCTACATACCGAGAGCGTCGATGTGACTTCACGCCTGCCAGGTGCGCAGTTAACCTACTGTTTATTCTGTTTTTTAAACCTTCCAAAGAGACTGTTCCAATGTTTTGGTAAAAGATGACAAAGGCTCTGGTTTTTGCAGAAGTGCGTGAGCTAGAGAGTACAGTGCGTCTTTCAGATCGCAAGTTGTTCAAGAGCTGGGAGGCGCTCAAAGACTCAACGGATCCTAACGTCTTCGAACCACTGCTGGACGAAATCAGGGTTAGTTTTCCTTCTATAGCATGTTCTATTCTCATACTGAGCAGTAAATTATCTACTAATAAGTAGTTCCAAAATACTGAACTGTCCTATCCATGACATTGACAGCGGGGCGCCACTGTCAATACCGGATCGCTGGTGCCGATTTTTGCCATGTTGGAAGCCATAGGTATAGTTGAACGATGGTAGCGCCTCCCTGTCATTGAGTTTGGTGGGACAGTTCAGCGTGGGTCATCTATACAGATAATTTTAGTCGTGGTCTCGCCTCTACGATAGAAAAGTTTGACTTCATACTTTGAATAAAAGTTCACTATCCATATGCGCAGTGGGTGTTTTATCAATTTTATTAATGTCGCTTGGTCTCAAAGACCCCTTAATTTGAAACTGCGACGATTTAGAATGGCAAATACAGACCTTCGTCTTCAATATTTATCGTCTTCTTAACTCCTTTTCCAATGACAGAACAAGCAAACAGCCCTGGAATGTCTGATGCGACTGATCGAAAGCCGCAAGTCGGCCATTGCACGGTCCGCGCTACCACCACAGCCGTTGCCGGCACCTCAGTCGCAAGAGAACGAAGAAGGTAAACCTTTATTATTATTTTAGTTTTATTACTGCAGGGTCTTCAGGTTTATACTGCCTCCTGACTCCTGAGCAGTTTGTTTTCTCATACCATCGATGTTCATTTGTTATTTTGATGAGTTAAAAACTTGGAATGGGATATGTTGTCTCATCATCATCATCCATCATCAAGTGATTTAGTTTCCAGTTCAGGAGCACGCCTCTACCTAATTTAGGTACTATGGATAAGTATGTCGCCTAACGATAGTTTTTTGATAGAATCCTCCACCACGACGACTGGCCGAAAACGGTCAGAGAGCCGAAGGTCTACCAGTAAGAGAAGAAGAAAAGATTCTGCGAGGGAGCCTCGGTCTGTGCCGCTGTCTAGCGAGCCGAGCAGGCATGGACCTCCCCCGCAAGTATGGACTTTGATAGTTCTATCCTAGAGTTCCTTTTCAATTCACATTACGAAACCATTTAGTGCATCAACTACTTATTGTACAAGAAAAGAAGACCCCTTTTCGTTGCAATTTCCCGAATACATTTGCTTTTTTTTTGTTGAATTCGTGCTTTTTGCTCAAGGAGATTGTTTTTCTCGGTCGCTCAACATTATGATGTCCACCCCCTTTTGTGCGATATCAGTTTCAGTTTAGTACGTTCATTGGTCACCCTTTTCTATTCCCATTCGTTAGGTTACGGCGTGCTTTTATCTATTTTCATCGCTTATTTAAGCAAACAGTTTCTTTATCTTTTCCACTTTCGTTCCTCTCAGGTGACCCTCTACATCCAAGGGGAGAGTGCATCTCGCCGGCGCGTGGGCAGCGCAGGCGCTGTCGCGCTCACTCCTCTAGAGCTGCCCTCTCGCGGCAGTGTCAGAGACATTCTGTTCTTTACCACTAACTGAAATCATTGTAACTGGAATTGAATAAATAAGCCACCGAAAACTATAGTTGTTTCTATTATTTCGATGACAATCGGCGACACTTGAGCCCCATTTTTTCATCGTCAGGGAAATTCATACAGTCACAAATTTTAATGTCGATTTTAACGTCATGGAGGCAGCTAGTGGGGCATGTGGGACAGTCCTGGATCTATCAATAGGCCGTTTAGGCCGCGGCCTAAGGGCGGCAGATTTCAGATGACGCTTACTCGATTTCAGAAGATAAAAGTTAAATAAAGATCCAACCTCACCTTAGCCTACGGGAGGCAAAACTGTAAATCCGCCACTGATGTGGGACCTCTTAAGGGAAGCATTTAAGGAAAAGTTGTCTCATTAGCAAGACAGGTGCTCGGAAGCTATCAAGTATGAGTCGAAAACATAGGACATGATTATCAGCGATTGCCTATACCTAAAGCATGCGTGAGAGCATAGCAAGGAACTTCTCAGAGTTTATCCCCCATTTGGTAGGAAAGGTGTGTGTTCCCTGTAGTATTCTAGAGGTTTGTAGTGTTCCTAGAAGTTTCGTCCACGATACGAAGGTACTTACAGGCGAGCACCACCGCAGGAAAATAAATCAAAAATTCAAGAGCCACGTAAGCTGTTGGGAAAAAGAATTAGATAGCTAGATGGATTACGTCTATTCTACATAAATGAAATTGCATTCGAATCATATGAAATTATTATATTTTCGCCTTGCTCGAATACGATGGCGTCTACGTGGATAAACATAGAGATCTATCACAATACACTGAGTAAGTTCTTAGGGCTTCTTTTCTTCGGGCTTAGCTGTTGTCTCTGGAGCAGCTGATGAGACTTCAGGGCTTGGGGAGTCCGATTTGACCTGTAAAGGATAATTCCATAAGTAGGATCAAACTGTTAACACATTTTCCAAAAATTTTTTTCTTTGTTTCGATTCAACTCCTACAGCAGCTTGCTTGCAGGCTGCAAGTTGCAGCTCCTTCAACATCACCAGTGAATGATGATTACATTAAGGTATCGAGGGAAAGTGTGCAAGGAAGTAGTAGGTAATCACTTTAATAAATCGCAAAAGAATTTGAAGTTATAGGATCTGAAGGTCTTATGCCCGTTTTCACCATCAATCCCTAATTAATAAGTGACCCCTATGTAAACAAAATTCCCGTTATTTGTTACCATAGGGGTCACTTAAAAATTAGGGATTGGTGGTGAAAAGGGCATTATCCACTTAACTCCTGTGTAGCCAGGACAGGATCTACCTACAGCATGACAGTCAAAGTCAAGTTTATCCTAGGGAGAGTAAAAGGGAAGAAAAAATGAGGAGTTGGTTAGGAAACTCCAAGATACTCGTAGGTAGGTTCGAGTGCGTTATCCTGGCAAAATGTTGTCTCCTTTCGAAAATCGAATGATGCAGTTAAATAAGAGCCCTATCTGGTGTAAATGTGCCCGAAATTTTAAATTTGAGCCCTCAGCCGTTCCAGCAGTATTCAAGAAAAACGGATTTTGCCAGGATAACTCTTTATTAATTAACTGCATCATTAGATTTTTGAAAGGAGCTACAACATTTTGCCAGGATAACGCACTCGGTAGGTTCTATTATAAGTTGACAGGCACTTACTTCGACATGCTCTGCTGCTGGTGGTAGAATATGCGTGATATCTCCAGCAGGGGGCGCTGAAGTTTCTTCTTTCTTCTCATCCTCTGGCATTGGTGCCGAGTGGCATAACTGGAACATTATTCGCGTGACTTTAAACAATCGCAAGGAAGATTCTAAAGAAAAGCCGAAGATTTAAGTATTCGTAAATTCAAGTCCTTCTTTCCTGTTGTGAGATACCTACTATAGAAGCGTCATTATCATCAGTATGGTACATTTTACTGAGCCCCAAGTTTTGCCCGCAAATCGTAAATTACTTAGCTATTGATTGATGGGTCGCGTTAATTAATTCAAAGTTTAAGTGCTTTGAAATTGAACCAAAAACACTTTCCTGGAAATTCCTCTAAAACTGGCACACACGTAATTTAACACAAAAGAATATAGAAATTCAGGTGCATACCTGCACAGCCACGAAAGCGAAAAGAGCTACGATCACGACAGCCTTCATACTTGAGCGATTAACTAACAATGCATTTCACGTGTCGGCCAACTGAATTTATAAGCCCGAGGATACCAAAATAACGATTATACCTCCGTCAATCAAGTATAATGTTTATAAAACAATCATAGGCGGAACAATTAAAATCGTTATCGTTTGTTTCTCATACCACTCATACTTACCCATGGGTTAGTGCCTGTTAGTGCTTATGACGTGACGTCATGGAATATTGCTGCTACCTACCTTTTAGCTAGAGGCTTGTATTTAAATGATAGATTATTAATTTCTTGTTGCTTTAGATTAGATAGACGCCGTTATTTCAAAAATTAGTTAAATACGATGACTCTTTTACAAACATGGGACTTAGAAGCTTGAGTAATTCTATAAATATCTACAACGGATATACTGGCCTATACCTATCTGGCCGATCTGGTCCTTCTCCTTCTTCCTCATTCCTTCTTTGGTCCTTCTGGCCGTAAATTGTAATATTCCAGAAAGCAAGATTCCATTCCGGCGCGGTCCAATCCTGAACCAAAAGCCTCTGTTTAATTAAAGGCTTGACCCTGCAATAGGTACCTAACTAAGGTAAACGGCTACTAGTTCGTGATAGTACGTAAGTTCGTAAGTTTTTTTTCTAACTCAAATAATAAGCAAATGGAATAGTATTTATAAAAATTCTTCATTACTACAAAAACTCTATTATTTAAGCTATCTAAAAAACTAAGTACCAACATTGTAGCGCCAAAAATGAGAGCAATACGAAGCTTCAAACTCTCAGAGAGCCAAAAACAGCCGTGCGACGTGCAAAGGTTGCTCTCACCGTAAGGTTAGCGCTCCAACTTCTTAAGCTTATAAAAAGGCGAGGGAACGTCCATTTAAATAAAACTTGTAATAGTGGTTTCATGTGTTCCTTGACAATTGATTTGGCATAGAAAAAAGTTATATGAAAACGTAGAATTCCTTTAAAATTGCGATTAATTGACTCACGAAATAGCGTACATATTATTTTTCGGGTGTCCCCTATTTCGTGACACTACCGATTCAAGGATATTATGGATAACATTTTGATGCTTGGTTTTTAAATAATTATTTATGATAATTTAAATGTAAGTTATGAAACAAATAATGCATTTATTTAAGTTTCTCATGACCTAAATTCGGTATATGTTTCGTTCACTAGAATTTATATGACACGAGTTTGAAGTTCACATATATGACCAATTTTAAGATAAATTAGCATAAGTAGTACCAGCATAATTTTGTTTTTATTTCGATTTGTTTTATTTATCTTTGTTTATTTGTATTGTATATACAACGTGTCCCAAAATTCAACGATAAGCCGGCGCCAGAGGGTGGACATAGTCATGACTACTTTAGGAAAAATAAGAAAAAAAATCTATCTCAATAATTTTTTAAGTTATACAATAAATAATGATATTCGTCGAAAATTGACACCCCTTATGATATTTTACATTACCACGGCCACAATTTTTCAAATACTTCTGTTTTTTTGTTTGTACCGGCAACCTAAGTAGTGCTGCTGTCCACCCCAATCCTTAAAACCTCCAGAATCCTTGCAATTTTTACACAAAAGTTAATCAAAATATGATATTTCCTTAAAATTTTGAACGACTTTTACTTTCACTCAACTTTGACTCGTAGTTTTGTAAAAAAAAAGTATGAACACTACTGCGGCAAGTTTTTTATAAAGTTGACGCAACTATCCAAGATTCCAAAATGGTATAATACTCTTAGAAAACTAGTCGCAAAAAAGATATGCGTACCATTTTTACAAGCACTTCGCTTGTTAGTTAGTATGGGATAAATCTTGCAACTGAATTTAAAACCAGTTCTCCTCAAATAATTGAGCTGAAATTTGGTATACTTATGTAAGTACGATGACAATGCAATATTATGGTATCACTGAGCTGGATGGAGTCTGGAGGTGACCATAGGAACTTCTAAAAGAAACGGCGGAATTGCATCTAGTTTAGGTTCATTGGATTTGTCTTTTCGTTCACTTTAGTGCTAGATGATGTCCAGGGTGTTGATGATGAAGTCAAGAGGTGGCCAGGAGCTGGCCATAGGAACTCCTAAACGAAACAGCGGAAGCTTATCGAGTTTGGGTTCGTTGGATTTGTCTTCCCGAGCACTTGGGCCATGAGATTGAGAAACAACTAAAAAGTTTAAAATAAAGTTAGCCAGATCCTGACCACCTCTTGACTCATTATCAGGATCCTGGACATCATCTAGCACTAAAGTGCTCGACAAGACAAATCCAACGAACCCAAACTACTTGCGATTCCGCCGTTTCGTTTAGAAGTTCTTATGGTCACTTCCAGACTCCATCTAGCTCAATGGTACCATAATAATGCATCGTAATTGTACTTACATAATGTAACCAAATTTCAGCTCAATTGGTTGAGGAGAACTGGTCTTAAATTCAGTTGCAAGATTTGTCCCACACTAACTAACAAGCGAAGTGTTTGTAAAAATGGTACGCATATCTTTTTTGCGACTAGTTTTCTTAGAGTATTATACCATTTTGGAATCTTGGATAGTTGCGTCAACTTTATAAAAAACTTGCCGCAGTAGTGTTCATACTTTTTTTTTACAAAACGACCAGTCAAAGTGGAGTGAAAGTAAAAATCGTTCAAAATTTTAAGGAGATATCATATTTTGATTAACTTTTGTGTAAAAACTGCAAGGATTCTGGGGGTTTTAAGAATTGGGGTGGACAGCAGCACTACTTAAGTTGCCGATACAAACAAAAAAACAGAAATATTTAAAAAATGGTGGTCGTGGTAATGTAAAATATCATAAGGGGTGTCAATTTTCGAAGAATTTCATAATTTATTGTGTAACTTAAAAAATAATTAAGATAGATTTTTTTTCTTATTTTTCCTAAAGTAGTCATAACTATGTCCATCCTGCGGCGCCGGATTATCGTTGAATTTTGGGACACGTTGTATATAGAGATAGATAATAGTTAATTGACACATTTTGACAATAATCCATGAATTTTACTTGGGGATTTTGGAATAATCAGTATCACGAAACAAGGAACCGTATTATTGTTACTTTTTTCCAAGTTCGTGATATATAAATGTATGGTCTTAGGTACTTTTATGACACATACCATCAAAGAAATCGACATATTTTTTAGTTTTTAATACTTACCTACCTAAGAAATTAATTAATTACTTACTTTTTATTATGAGTCATTGGCGTATCTGGGGTTATTTTCAGGGGGGGGGGGCTACCGCCACTTGAAACAGCTCCAGGGGAGGGATTATGGGGAGAAGGGAGGGGGTTACAAATCAANGGCGTATCTGGGGTTATTTTCAGGGGGGGGGTGCTACCGCCACTTGAAACAGCTCCAGGGGAGGGATTATGGGGAGAAGGGAGGGGGTTACAAATCAAAATTTTATGGGTACGAAAGGGGGGGGGGGTAGTCCCCCCCACATTTCTAATGGTTATATAAATATTTTCACATATCGCTAGAAATAACAAATCAAAATTTTATGGGTACGATGGGGGGGGGGTGCTAAGTCCCCCCCCCCTACATTTCTAATGGTTATGTAAATATTTTCACATATTGTTAGAAATAACAAATCAAAATATTATACTAGACTCACATTATTTCTTATGAATATTTCAAGTAAGTAATATCGTCAATTTCACATAATTATTTTATACTAAATTTTTACTATAGTTTTTAAATTTATGAAACCCTTAATCATTATTCAAATATCCTAAATATGCATAAAACCTTATACCGAAATAGGGGACATGAGTTCACGAACTTAGAAACAGAGCAAAATTTTGTCACGAAACAGGATCCAAACAAGAGGTCCGCAGAACAATTAATATAAAAAAAAGTTCAAACTATATAACTATAAATTATGTATTAACTTACTGTCAAAAGACCAAAGTTTAGCATACAAAAGCTTTCATACTGATATCATGCTTGGTTATTTTTAAATAAAATGTTAAAGTCGTAAGAGCCTTAATATGCCGAAGTAGGGGGCACTTACCTTATGCATTTCATTAACGGTAAGTAAACTGCTAATAGTCTCTTTCATGGAGTTTGTTCTCCCGAATCTCTATACGCCTATTTATTAATAGGCCTGGGCTGGAAGGAAGCGAATTTCTTTCTCTAGGGTTGGTGAGGTGATCATAAAGGCTAAGCATTTTCTATGGCCCCAGGACATCGTAGACCTTTTCTCTGACTTATCAGGAGATTATTTTGACGTAGACTGTACAATATTTTAATGTTTCCAGCCACACGTGTAGGTATGACGGTATGACGCATTGCATAATCGCGTCTTAATTAATTTTCTGATGCATGTGGTTGTCGATCATCCACCATTTCACGGTTAGTAAATTTTAATTAACTGCACTTTATGCAGATTAGAGACTTATAAGTTAGTTAATATAAGTAGTATAACATAAGGACAGCGGATCTTTTGTTTGCTAACAAAATCCGATGTCTCTACCACTTGCTTAATTCTCCTATTAGCCTAGGCGAACACCACCGACTTTTTATCGTTCGATAGTTAGGTCGGACTGTATGCTCAAAATCCGATGTCTCTACCACTTGCTTAATTCTCCTATTAGCCTAGGCGAACACCACCGACTTTTTATCGTTCGATAGTTAGGTCGGACTGTATGCTAAAACATGTATAAAAAGTGCGGACATTTATTTGCCGACCAATGGAGAAAACTGCAATATGAGTGTCCGTCCATTGCTGTCCGTGCATGATGGTAGATAGCTGCGCTTGCAAATATAGGTATTAATATACTTATATTGCTATAGTTACATGAAGCGACCAAATTCCAATCTGAAAGGTATTTAATTTTATTTCATAGTTTCGTAAAAACCTAAAAAACTGATGTATGAATTTTGAATTTTTGTGAAATATCCGAATATATTTTGTGTCAATTCTACGTTCCGTTTCACTTTGATGTAGCTTTATCAATTTATATGTATTAAGATTTAAACGAATTTGTTTGATTACGAACATGTTTATTATTTCCAAAGATTTTGTTTATTATTTTCGCTTTATTGGATAATTTGTCGCATAGATAGTTTTTAAATTTTCTGTATGATATTTTCTTTAATTAGGTTTACGAAAACTTGTGTGGATTGGAACGGATTACAAATCCTTGAAGTGTTGGCATTTTTGGCATTTTGTTCTTTCGATTTTTTGGCAGATGTGGCGAAAATGAATTGATTGGAAAATAAAAAATTAACAGGGTTTATGTGAATGGTGTGCTTTGAGTGATTAGTGATAATCGTGGGCAGTGTTTTTAATTGTTTGGGTGGACAATTAAGTTATAAAAATGTCTTCGCGCGGTGTTATGGTTACTGGTACGAACGGTGCAGACTTCGAGCACAGGGAAAAAATAGCTGTTCAGTACCAGTTAAGGTTGGTTTCTGGTTTATTTACGTTGGTTCGACCGTGTAGAAGGCTACGGAAATTTATGAGGCTGCGGTAACGTGACAGGCGACAATTATTTCATCAAGTTCCGTCAAATTATTTTTAGCCGAAAGCAATCGATAGCGACCAAGATTTCGCGCCATTTATTTGAAATTTGTTTCACGAATTAGAGGTAAACGTTGGCAATAAACCGATGTATTGGTCAAATAAATATTTAGAATGCTAAATGTTTGAGAAAAAAATATTTTGTGCTAACAACTTGTACTTGTTTGTTTCAGTGCCCTGAACAAGTCAAGATTAAAATACTGTGTGTTCTTCCACCATGTGTTGTTCTTCGTGATGTTGGCAAAGCTATCGGCTGATATCCTGGACAAACTCGACATTTTTATATTGGAAATTGAGGAATTGCAAATACCACAGGTACGATTTGAGAAGAAAACGTTTGGTTTTTTACTAACTTTGTTTTGTAAATGCACCATTTTAAGACTTTCTACTATCTTAATGATGGCACAGACAGTTCCATTATGGCTAAAATATTTAACAAAAAACATACATCAATATTGAGAACCTACCTCCGTTTTGAAGGCTGTTAATAAAAATGTATGTAACTTTTATGACAATTATTATAATTAAAATACTGTTTAATTTTCAGCCTGTCTGGTGGGAGTACATCTGGTGCCTGTCTCTGTTACTATCGTTCCTCGGACTGGCTGCGATAAAACGTAACAACATCAAGCAATTACGAAGATACATGTACGGTATTACAGCGCTTGGATTTGGACCGTTATTGTATTGCATCCTCTATTACTGTGGGGACGTCTTTAGGTACTTGTCGAGGGATGAGGATGAAGATGACAGTTCGGAAGTGGAGATTGAACTTTGGCAGGTGAGTTCAAAAGTAACAGTTAATATTACACTTTTAAGTATTTTTTGGGTGCTTTGATCATTGACTAGTTAGATATGGCATAGAACTAATGTAGTCATTTTTACAGCACATACATCAGAAATAAATAATTATTTGTATTTGGGATTATTGAAGTTCTTCATGCAAATGTTTGTTGTTTGTGTCTGTTTCTAATAAAACATGTCCCATACATGACGCAACAACGAGCTGAGTTCGTTGCACTGCAGCTCTAAAAAAATAGAATTTAAAATCATTATGAGAATAATTAAATAATACAAGCATAATAGTTAATATTATCGTTCTTTTTCCTTCCAGGGCTACCCATACGGTCTGCTGTGGTACTAATACAAGCATAATAGTTAATATTATCGTTCTTTTTCCTTCCAGGGCTACCCATACGGTCTCCTGTGGTACGCTTTCGTCCTGCTAGCGTCACAAGTGCACTTCTTCCAACTATACTTCTCGTACAACTTGCTGAAAGCGTGGCGCGCACGGGGCGCGTTAAGGAAAGCCGAATAAAGCACTTGTTAAGGTATATCACCAGTTCATTTGTTAAGCATACTGTCAGGATATTATGTTATGGTTTTAATGTATTTTTTACGAAATGACATGATTATTTTAGTTTATTTCGTCACTTATGTCAGCAGAGACCCACTATCGGTCGTTATGGAAATCATTGGGGCAGGCCTATGTTCAGCAGTAGACGTCCTATGGCTGATATTGTTATATAATGTACTTAATTTTAATGATATAGTTATTCAATGGAGATTGACTCGTGGGAAAATTTTGTATTGAAATAACATATTGAAGATATTGTTTACTATTTGTATGTTATTTTAGGATTTTATTTATTTTAAAACATACCCTGACAGTATGTGCACTGCCAGATTTAAGTATGGATGGTTAGTAAAACGAATATACCCTAAAATCCGACAAAAGACAACTCATAGCTACAGTCTAACAATGTAAATACGATTCTCATTAGTTTTTCACGTTACAAATATATTGAATGTCTATTTTAGATAAATGTTTTAGAAGTGACTAGTCGTAAAGATACTCAATGTCTCGATGTATCGTCTCCATCTGTATAAATATCTAAATAATACAAATAAAGCTCTACTATTGAAAAAAAATCGCCGAGTTTTCTCTGAGGTATAGAAATCTAAACTTGACAGTTCAAAACACCTGTTATTTGTTGAGGGGGAGCTACCTGTGTAGTCTAAGAGCACAGTGCCCTACTATTCACGAAACGTCTAAATTGAAAGCGCCCTAAACATATCTTCGTAAACAATAAATTTTAGGGCACAGATAAAATGGGATACATCACGCCCTAAAGATGTGAAGCACTATCTAATGATCTAATTGATACTGAGATGCAATCACATTATATGGAAACTGATAGTATGACTTTTAGGTAGTATTGAACTGTCAAGTTTTGAAATTAAATTACATTAACAACACCTTTTTATATACGCACATGATATTGTGAGATTAAAAAATACCTTTCTTTGTGAATAACTTTCAAAATTCTTTGGAGTTAAATTTTGTTAACCTCAATATGTTGTTAAAAGAGATCTAATGTTAATTATTTTTAAACGTTAAGATTTTATTTATTTATATTGTAATTTGAAACTTGACAATTTTGAAACGTTAAGCCCCATGATTATATTGTCTATATTTTAATAAGAGTTTTGTATTTTTTACGTACCGTATTGATTGAACGGGTGTGATTTTGACTGAGTAATAGTTGAATTTAAAAACATATTTTGTATGTTAATAGACTTTAGAAGCAAGACTAAGGCAATAGATGACATGTAAAGAACTGTTTTCTCTTTTTAATATTCTCTCATAATATACAAAGTCAGTTATTTAGCCAAATGTAGGCTATTCTATGTCGAAATCAATTCAATATTACTTTTAAGTGATAATATCTTTTGAGAAATGAAATATCAACACTACTTGGTTATTAATTAAAGGCAGTCTCTTATTTTATTAATTTTATAAGTTATTACAAAGGTTTTTTGATATGAAATGAGAACTAATAATTTTTGTGAATCGGTCAACAAACATAAGGGTGCTTACATAAAGGTGGCTCTTGGCTTTAGTCTTCGTGGGCATTTGTTATCATGGGGCTTTTTAAACAGACTTATTGTGGTACCAGCCTCTTTGTGAAAGCACCTTAATGTTACAACTAGTTGGACAAACTTGGTAATTACTTGTTGGGTTCTTATTGGCGGTCAAGCTGTAGATCCTGGCTACACAGGAGTTGCAGCGGTAGAAACGAGAGGTGGGAATAGTCTCGTATTTGATTATGGCCGAACAAAATGAAAGTGCATTCTAAAGATAGGTGTTCACAGTGCTTAGTGAGCGTTTTTACTATACAATCACATTGCAATAAATTGTAGATTTGTATGACACACTGTCGTGTGGTATGTGGACATATTTTTGTTGTGTCATGACACGTTAACGCGCTCACTTATGTCAAACTCGCACTATGCACGTTGAAATTTTATCAACTGATACAGTCTTCAAAAATTACTATGTGTACTAAGCCTTAAAAATTACGTCCTCTCACTCAAAGGCCTACGTTTTGTGTAAGTGTAAATAAAATTAAAAACTATTTATTACGTTTTACAGTCCAATTTATAATGGTGTTGAAAGTTTGTTTTATCTTTTGAGGTTTTCCCTTGAACAATGGTTTCTATTAATAAAACTATTTTTAAAACTTAATCTGGAGTGTTAATAATATATCTACCCTTTGAACGTCATACACTTCTTATTGGTTTATTACATAAGTTTGTTTATTTTGATCCACATAAACAAATATTTATCTGAGGAGATTATAATATCACTTATATATTATGAATTAAATGCCTAGCTAGGTATTTAAGCATGAGTGGGTTATGGATGGTTTCTCCAATAATATGATACCTACTATACAATAATAATATACCTAATCAATCTGATGGATGGATAAGTGATAGATTGCAAAAATAATGACTTCTATTGAGTTGGTATTTCATTCATCATGATTAAATTTATAATAATGACATTAGCATACTTAGTCGCATGGTGCCATTTTGGATCCTCAAACAGTTATTAAACTTTTGGAATTCTTTAGTTCCGTAGAATATAGTATAATAAATAGTTGTCACATTTGTTCTTTTGAAGGAAAAAATTATGTAGATAGGTATAATAGTATCCCTACCTAAATACGAGCGGTGTTCAAAAAGTAAGTAATTGAGAATGGAATATTTCTAGCCATCACAAAAATTAGAAAAAAATTGGGCAGGTAGCTTAATTCATCACTAGATAGAAATTGGTAAAAAAAATGACAATTAGAGTTGTAGCTGTATTTGTTATGGTTTTCATGGCTTTTTCTCTCACAAGAAGCCACGCGACCACCGTTTTCGAATCAACATCGCGAAACACTGGTCGTTGACATCGAAATTTAAGCTTATGCTATTATGGATTAATCATCATCGGTCATATTTTTGTTGATTAAGGACTGAGATAATTAGTTTTATTAATTAGGCCTACTTACTGTCTGTGGTAAAGGTGTGTGTGTAAAAGTTCTTATCATAAAATATTATTTATTAGAAGCGTTTTCATCGTTGCTTTTATGTAAAAACCCTTTTGTTGTTAATAATGTAACAACGTTCGTATGAGTCATCAACAATTTTTTTTAAAACGTGCATCCTTCTGACCATATCTTTAGAATCAAGTGTCCTATAAGTAACTTTGCATGTAAAAATATCGTAGGGGTGTATTGCATGTGCATTGTGCAATGTGCATGCACCATGGCCGCCATGCATGTACTTGAGTGAGATCCAGATTTAGGATTCTATCGGTAGGTATTTGCATTTTAGTACTAAAATTACTCGTAAACAGGGTCTCTCAAAAATAGTGCTAAGCCGAATCATATAGCCTACTATGTTGGCATGGAGGAATCGGGAGGATTAACATCACGTTTCTGAAGCATTATTTCTCATAAACATCTACGATTTCATTCATGTAGAAAAAATCTCAGAGCTCAAATTTTCAGCGCGCCAACAAAGTGCTAACGAAATGTCGAATGGTTGTAAAAACGGTTCAGCAGTGGGTCTAGACAAAGTGCCATTATAATCGCAAACCAGTCGAAAAGTGGTCGAAAAGCCCCTTTTTTGTATGGAATTTGACGGATTCGATTTTCGATTCGATCAAAAAGTGCGTTTTGTCTAGGGGGGCAGGTCTAGACAAAGTGCAAATTATAATCGCAAACCAGTCGAAAAGTGGTCGAAAAGCCCCTTTTATGTATGGAGTTTTGACGGATTCGATTTTCGATTCGATCAAAAAGTGCGTTTTGTCTAGGGGGGCTGTTGTGGTTCTGTCACTGTCACGTCGCATCACACATCTCTTTATCACACAATGTTGTTGCTAGTGACATGTCGCTCGCTCAGTCCTTTGTTGCTATTCCGCTAGAACAAACCTACCATGGAGGCTATGGTACGGGTAAGAAATGATGCAAAACCAGTTAATTTTGGAAATCAAACCACTCTATCAATGTTCGTTCTTAAGTATATTTTAAATTTTTTTAATCATGGTCAGTTGTCGGTCCGGGTATTGTAGTTCGGCCAGGGTCAGTCGTCCTCGGTGATGAGCAGCTCCTCGTCGTGGTCCTCGTCGGCGGTGGGCGGGCTGCCCGCGTCGGCCGAGTCCGGAGCCGCGCGTGAGATCCAGACTTGGGATTTGATATCTACACTTTAGTATTAGGTATTATGTATTATTGTTGGGACTCGTTGGTGTTTTATTTGGCAACTAGCGGCCGCCCGCGACTTGATACGCGTGGAACCCGTTTACCTCCTTATTGGTTGAATTTTGTAAAATTAGTTAGCTCCTACGTTCTAAAAAGAACCCCCGTGCTAAATTTGAGACCCCCTAGCACTTTCGTGATGAGCGAGTAAGTCAGTCGGTGATCTTTCGCTTTTATAAATATAGAGTCTTATTATTAATGGTAACAGGAGAAGAGACAAAGCCAAATCCAGTTATAATACAAAAATCAAACCACTCTATCAATGTTCGTTCTTAAGTATATTTTAATTTTTTTTAATCATGGTCAGTTGTTGGTCCGGGTAATTGTGTTCGGCCAGGGTCAGTCGTCCTCGGTGATGAGCAGTTCCTCGTCTTCGTCCTCGTCGGCGGTGGGCGGGCTGCCCGCGTCGGCTGAGTCGGGAGCCGCGCGGCGCCATTTTGCGCGACGGTTCTGGAACCAGGTCTTTACCTGGAAGGGAGGGAATGATTTGAATACAGATATTGTACTAAGAATTTTAAACAGATTTCATAACAGGTTAGTATTGGACTCGTATTATATTTTTATTTGTCAATCAAGCAAGTACCTACCTAAATGAAGTTACAATGTGTTGAAGTTACGTCATAAAGTGCGTTTAGGCACTCCTTGAAGTCACGTGTATTTCTTTTGAACTTTATGGGCGTTATCCCTTTAAATTTTCATTAGTTTGAAAAAGTGAAAAATAATGTGAGAATGTTTTGATAAATTATCTGACGGACTAATTCAATCCTTTCTGGGTTTAGTTAGTTATTACATTAATTAAGAAAGAAGTACATAGTTAAGTAGATCTTAGATCTGGAATATGTTTTTTGGATCGTTCTTTGGCGGAATACGGTTATTTGAAAGTGAAGCAAACACTTCTAATAATAATTATGTTGATATCTCGAGCTTTTGTCCTAATAATATTAAATAAATAATATTGAATGTAGAACCTATAAGATCCATTCAATACATATTAATGTGGCTTTAAAAGTATCTAGAATTCTAGATTCCCGTGTAATTTATCACAACGTTACCAACCTGTCGGTCGCTCAGTCTCAACGTAGCAGCTAAAGCCCGTCTCTCATCAGGGCTCAGATATTTGCTGGCACTGAACCGTCTCTCCAAGGCGCCAGTTTGGGCGGCACTGAACCGTACCTGCCCGCCCTTCCGCCGCCCGCCCAAGCTCCACCACGGGCTGCAGCAAGCCGGCCCTACTATGGAAAGGGTACTGTTAGAACTCATTATACTGTCCTTTAGTTTTATTGTGTGCTTATTTCTTAAAATTAGTTTCGTTGCAGGTCTAATGACAGTTTAACTTTTCCTTGGGACAATCTTTGGCCTTCACTGTTGGGATTTTTTTGGAAGTCAAGCTTTGGATCCTGGCAGCACACGTAAGGATAGCTTTTCTTATTTTAGGAGGTAGGTAGACACACCTAAAAGTGGTTATCTATTATTGTGTTTGATATTCAAGTAACACTAACTTAAATTCACAAAACTGACTGAATTCACAAAAGTTACATTATTTAATTTATGTTATAGCCATAGCGGAAATTTTAATTGTTAAATATCTACTCTATCGCATCATTGGGGTAACTTGTAATGTTAGAGCTAAGATTGTTATTAAATAAATAAATAAATAGTTTATTTATTTATTTATTCATGAATAGAACGGTAGTACCAATTACACTATTCAAATAAGACGTAACAAAGCTTAGAATAACAAAATATAATAATAACTAGCTGACCCGGCGAACTTCGTACCGCCTTAGCGTAGAGATTTTCTTAATATTTTTTTCCGTAAGAACCATCCTTGGACTTCCACAAACATTTAAAAAAAAGAATTATCGAAATCGGTTCAGCCGTTCACACGTGATGCCGTGACAACGCGAAACGGGTTTCATTTTTATATATATAATAGATAATAGATAAAACTAACTTGCTTGTCAATAAAACTGTTAATAAAACTTATATGTCTCTCTACCACTGAAATATTATGTGCCTTTGATAACCTATATTAAAAATAGGTGCATGCTTTCAAGTACTTAGTTAGGATTACTTAAAATACATACAAATTTAGGTGGGCCTATCTTTTAAACCAGGTAAAGTAGGTATGGGTATTTAGGGTTTTCTTATCAACCGATAAAAGTAACTAACCAATGTAATGTATGATACCTGTATCATATTAGACAAGTATTTTTATCAATTATTTATTTGTAATCATCGCTTTAACGAGCGCAATCGATGGATAATCGATTATCCTATATTAAATGTACGATACAAAACCGATAAGGATTTGACCAAGTTCGTGTTAAGACTAACAAAGAAAAAAACTTTTGAATCTAGGCATTTAAAAAACATTCTATTGTATAGCGATATAGGTATGATCAAAATCAATATCATATCTACTGCGATCAGTTACAATTTCTATTACAGAAACTATACTCGTACAAGTACCTACGCAAGTAATTTATGAACACTTTTAATTTAAAAGACAATAGTTAAGTTTTACTGTATTTTGCACTCCTAATTTTTCTTCTTTTTTCGTTTTAACTTAGACTATTGGGCAATGTTGTCCCCCTTCTCCTGGATGGACCCAGGGAGAAGGGGACGAATAGAAGGTCAGTTGTCCACTTAGAAATCGTAGGTATGCCTATGTATATATACTTAATGAGTAAATCTGACTAGCACGATAGGGCTAACCCATGTGCGTTATTTTATTATTTTCTATATTATTGGTTAATATTCAAGCATACACCCACCACATCACGCCCTATTATGGCAAG